AAATGAAATGCTTTTTAAAGTGGTCAAATTAAATTTTAAGGTAATTCTTATTTAATATTATTATTTTGGTATCACAAAAATTTGAATGCTGGGACTAGCTGAAGATATATTAATTAATATCGAAACTTCTCGGGGTTATTCAAGGGAGTTACATGTTTTAGTAACCACGCATTCATATGTAATGCATAACGCCAACACACGTTTACATAATTCCAATGTAAGTCATTGTTAACTGACAGAATATAAACGCGATTTGTGAAGGACATCTCTTTCGTCGTACTTAAAAGTAATGGATTAACATAACAGAGACCTAGTAAATAAACATGCAAAATAAATAAGCAAATGATATTCGAAAAGTAATAATTGAATGAAATCAATTCTATTCCAATCTCCCCGCTTCATCTTGTACACCTGAATTAGAACTTTAATTAGGAAACATTCTTCAAAATGATTGTAGGGTCAATAGGTCAATACTAGGATTTACTTTTGGTATACCAAAGACGAAACTCTAATTTCTTTTTTTTTGGATAAAGCGGCTGTGCGCATAAACGTAACCCTCCTGCCGTGTGTGCATGATCGACATTTGTCACACAATAATAATGATAAAATAACATCTTTTCACAGGCTTATTCAAAACCAACTCTTCAAAATGAAGACTTTTAGCATAAAAGAAAATGGAATCATAGTAAATTATAGTGATGCGATAAATTTAAGAATAAATTATCCAAACGATAAAAGAATTAAAATCTCCAAAGACGGATCAAAATTTATTAAAATCGATCATATTAAGAATGATCATTATAAAATACAAACAAAATGGTTAAAACCTCTTGGTATTTTAATTGCTAATTACTTACGACAAAAACATAACTTACCTATTAGAGAAGGTAGATAAAAAGTATTTTAAGGGACTAATTCTTTCATCCTTCATGAAATTAATTCCTTCGTTATTTTTTTTTTACCTTTTGCAGATCAAGAATATCTTCTGAATTTCCCTAGCGGATATGAATTTTTTGATTACGTAACGTACAACGATACAAGTCTGACGACTAAAGTTCGCACGGACAATTACTTATTCGGTAACTTTCACTAATCTCTCACTTGCATTATTTTATTAAACCATTAAGTAACCAACTTTCCTTTCCTTTTTCTTTAGGAAAATACAGATTTCGCTCAACTAATGAATTCTTACCTCATTTAATATGGATGATCTCAGATAAATCTGAAGAATGTGAATGTTGTTATTGTCCAAAGAATAGTCGTACGGCGAAAAAGAAGAGAGAATTGGAAATATCCGCTTCCGCTTCTTTAGAAAACACCATGAAGAAACAAAGGATAAATAAATTAACACCTTTGTCATTACTTTCTATTTCCACCTTACCAAATAAATATTCCCTAATTAATAAATCACCAACTATTTCCTTTAATTCAAAAAATACTTTGCCAAAATTTTCTTCTCTTGCGCCATCTTATAACAATGATTCATCTTTACAAAGGGTTTCGTTTTATTCACCAAATAATCCTCAAATATCAAAAATTTCATATTATTCCTTGAACAACAATAATCACGCTACTTCTTCCCTCGTAAAAGAATCCAATTCCTTTGATCATTTGTGTAAAGCACAATATAGAGTAAATGAAATAGTTTGGATTTGTTTACTAAGTGATGATTCAATGGAAACCTTTGAAAACATTAACAAGGTTATCACTAATCATAATGCCAGGATCCCTTATTGGCCTGCTCTTATAACAAACTCAACATTTAATACATCGGTTTCAAAATATGTTTATACCGTTAAATTTATTTATCTCGTCGTTGAAGAGATCAATGTATTAGAGGATTATATTTCTCCTTTCTCCTTCTCTTTGGTAGACATCACGAATAAAATTCGATCAAATCAAGTAAAAGGTAATTTTTTTCAAGAACAAGCAGTTTATACATATTTATTTATTTTATATTTACCAATTTTTTATGTACCTCTCCAAAGTCATTTGTCATTCTCATTATAGATATTTGGAAGTGATTTCGTGCGTAACACATTTAAAGAAAACTTTTACGTTATATTCTCCATCATATGACGCAGAGAACAACTTGTATCACTACGACTCCATCTTGATTGGTGCCGAAGAAATCACTTTAGGTGATACGGTTAAACTTGCATCAACAACTGACCTATTTATAATCAAAGATATTACAAGCGATTCAGATAGAGATAATGTAAAGTTCATCGGTAATTATGTATTAGACGACAAAGATGATAAACAACAACAATTACCACCACAACACCTTTCACAAATCTCAATTAATATAAATCAAATTGGTGGTAAAAATTACACTAGATTTCCAAGTATACAACATGATGAAATAACGAGAAATCTAATTGATATGAACGAAAGGGAAAATTTATTTTCATCGCAAATGAATGAATATTTTAGAAATCTTTTACATCGTGAATTAAATATTGAGAATTAAAATATTTATGTTATTTATTAGACGTCAATATCTAATACGGCCATTACCCCTCCTACAAGATGTAAACTTCCTGTAGTCAATACTTGAATCTCTTTCTTTGTTTGTTGATAATGTTCTCTTATCCATATAATACTTCCTTCAATCGTTGAAAATACGTAAGTTTTACTATCAATTGGATTGTCTACTTTAGAATTTAATAAAC